TCCAACCAGACCTACGAAGTAGTAATAAAACCCAAGGCCTACTGATTTCATTTCACCATACCTGGAGATTTAGGATACACCTTGAAGTAGGGTCCTCTGTATTGTGTTTCTTCTACTCTTGTAATATACGTCTGTCATGAAATGCAAGCATTGTATATGTTACTCGATTGCTAAAAAAATCTATTAGATTTAACAGAATGTGGATGTTATAGCTAAATGTAAACAGTTAACCAGTATAACTCGCAGAGTCTTATCTGCTGATTTGCGTACGGGTTTGAACAGTGAGTACGATCGCGCCTTATATACAAATCTCTGTCAGTACCGTATTTGCCTGATAAAGCGTGTTACTATATTGAAACATTGCACGTATTTGGTAGTTAAAATTATTTTTTTAAATAAGTATAAAGTATATATAAAAAAATTTAACTAGAATATAAATGATAAAATATACAACAATTACAGTATATATATTACCGTAACTGTTTGTGTTGAACCAAACTGAATACCATTGAAAACCTTCCAATTATTCTGAAAATAAAAAAAAAAGAGAAATGTAAAAGAAATTGCACAGCAATATACACACTCATTATAACATAATTTTATTTTACTCAAATGTAAAAGATTAAATATCAGTCAGCTCACGTCTCCTATTTCACACTTTACTAAACAATCCCTCTTACGTCACTCACTGTTTTCTTAAAACAACTTTTCTTTTAATTCAAATCACTTTTCAGATTATCATGTTATATAACACCATGAATAATACTAACTTACCACCGAGACACCGTCAAAAGTACAAGTAATTGAAGGATTGCAAAATGGTACATCGCCGGTGGGGTCGCTATATGTCTCAAGTTCTACAATATATCTGTCGTAATCTACAAATATCAAAAGGTGTGTCATTTGTTTTTAAATTTATTTTTAGGACACATAGCACATTGAAGCTAAGAAATCCAACAGTACAGTTATTAGGCCCACATCGTTTATGAAATCTGTCGCCAGAACATAAGCCCATTTGATATTAGAAAAACCTCTTTAATATTAATGCACCCCTTCCATATCCCTACCCCCTGCCATCTACATTTCAAGTAAATTGACCTCTCCGAAGTGTCAATCAAACTTAACAACTGACCAATTAGAACAGTTCCAGGAATACGCGCGTGTCCAACAAACCTAGCTGTTGTCCCCCACAAACGCACGTGCTTGTGTAGGCCTATGTTTTAAGTCGTTTCGTGGGAACTTAGCAACAATATCCAAGGGGCGGGGCTTAGAGAAATGTCCATTTAAATTGTTAACTAACCTTCAACCGGCGTCCAAGATATATTGACCTGTAAATCCCATTTTGTCGAGTTGTCATAAAGGTCAATGGTGAGAAATGTTGCCTTAGTGTTAATACTGTCGATTGCTTCATAATCTTATATTGTAAAGAAAAATATTAAATATTATAATTTTATTATAATATTTATACACATTATTATTATTATTATTATTATTATTATTATTATTATTATTATTATTATTATTATTATCAGTTATTATTATTACTATGCCGTGTCATTTTTACTGTTGTTATTATAACAATATCGTAACCAGATAAGTAATACAGACAATATATTTGAATTTTAGAGAAAGTAAATTTAATAACATACACGACACACAGAATACCGTATATAGTGTACATTATTTTTTGTTTAGTCCATACCTTCTGAGTTGGAACAGCAATTTTCTGTAATAACAGACAATATTCCATAAAACAGTTGTACAATGGTTAAAACTGATAACCAGCCTCTCCACATAGTTCTGTAGGGCGATTTTCTATGGAAGACGAGTCGTGACCTGAATATCTGTCTTTCTACCATTAATTTGGAAAAATGGTTAGTGAACTGTTGAATTTAGATTATATAGATTACGAAAGATTAACTACGATTAAATTACTCATTCTCAATAATCCTATGTCATTATACCATTAAGAAACAATATCAATAACAGTGATCGTAACGGCAATAATATTGTTTATATACTAATTTTCACAACAGTTAATAAACGCAAAGCACCTAAATAAAGTATAAAAATTCTCTCAGTAAATACACTACCATACAATAAAATAATTTATTTCAATAATGAAAAAGACGACAAGCCTCGTATTACTATTGCTAACTTTAATAACCATCGATGGTATTACGTAATGTTATTCACAAACAAACTGAATATAATATGGCTGCGTACTTGATGGATGATTACGCTAAACTATAAACACTTTAAATTAAAATGATCAAATAAAATGTTAATTTAACAAAACATTTTAAGGAAAGTAAACGCTTTTAATATCAGATCTTACACTTAGTTAACTACAATTTGTCAACTGGCATTCGTAGTATGATCAATTTAACGGTTATTTATTCAATATTCTCTTGTATTCAACTCGTTTGTGTCTGTTATTATGTCCAAAAATACTCTACAAGGAAAAACTGAAATGCCAATATAGTCCCATAGTGTGTAGCACAAATTAACATGTTGGAAAATGACGGTCACGAAGAAATGGATTAATACAGATAAAACTAGAATCCACTTCACCACCGGATATATTGAGGATTTTTACAATAGTTCTGTGGAGTTGTATCCATCAGCATTGGTATTCCGGAACTACATTCGTGTCAGCAGGATGAAAATTTAATCAATATCAACAGGATTTATTGGAATCAGTTAGGTCTTACATACAAAGCGGAAGAAATGAAATATTGTGACATCCATAGGCCTATAATCCTAACGATTCTGTGCTTTGAAAATAGTGGTTCGTTTCCTGGTTTAGAGCTGAATACCATTGACGAAGCAAAATATAATTGCAGCTTCCGCATAGTCGCGTATACCTCTATTTTGGTCAGGCAATACGATAAAAATAATCCACTGATGAAAATTATAGTAGATTAAAACTCATAGAAAGACATTATACAATCTTATTCTATCTCTGCCAGAATTCGAAAAAAGGACACAAATTGAGGACCGCGGTTTTGGACGAAAAAGAATAGGGAGGGACAAAAAGGTCGACCAGTCAATAGTCAATAGGCCTATTAACCGAGATAAAGTTCCTGACACTGAGAGTAGTGAAGAAGAATAAGAAGAAGAAAAAGAAAAAGAAAAAGAAGAAGAAGAAGAAGGAGAAGAAGAAGAAGAAGAAGAAGAAGAAGGAGAAGAAGAAGAAGAAGAAGAAGAAGAAGGAGAAGAAGAAGAAGAAGAAGAAGAAGAAGAAGAAGAAGAAGAAGATGATGATGAAGAGGAAGAGGAAGAGGAATCCTCTTTTTTTTCTGGTTTCAAATCAAGACTCAAAGCACACCTATTTTGTTCGTGTTACGTTTCATTTATTTTCCTTTTTTCATTCACTGCGCACTGAAGCCATTATGCCTATAAATGCCCAACTATTATAATATTTAGTTACATAAAAGATCAAAATAAACAGATGAATAACATAATTTTTTTACTAAAGTGATCAAACATTGAATTTAAGATGTGTCAAATGTAACAGAATATAGGTTATCAAAACCTGCATCTCATACATTATTTATAAATTGCTACAGGTAGGCCATTTCACAATGGAAATGGACAGTGTTAAAAATGTCAGATGCCATAATATTTAAAACCCTCAAACATTAAATTAAATCACAGAATTGCACATTGTTATCAATCTCTAATGACAAAGATTACACACAAGGGTGGCGCCAGCGCGGGAGGCCGGGGGCCAGCCCCTCCCCCACCCTTTCCCCGTCGGGGAGAAAAACAACAATTCGTCGGGGAGAAAAAAAAATGTATAGGCCTATGTATTTTCTACATATAAGTGGACTCCAAAATTGATTAAATAAGCCTTTAATACCCTTTAATTGTCATATTTTGGGGCTTCACCCCCGAGGACGCTTTCGAGAGGTTTTGAGCGACGCCCGACCACGCCAATTTTTTCGTCAGGGACATCGCCAATACCCCCTTGGGGACCTCGGAACCCACCTCCCACCCTGTCGGGCAAATTCTGGCGCCCCCTCTGATTAGCAGTGACATATCATTCTTATTTTTTCGAACTTTCAGGTCACTCTTTGGAACTTATTGCCAGCTTCGAGCTATTTTCGAAATAACCACCTCGCGAAGTTTACAACCAATAGGGCCTATAAATAATTTCTGTTAAATTTTATTTGATTTGTCTATTTCAGTTTTTTCAATCTGGTTATTTTATGGTATCATCAATAAATATGTTTGGGGATTTCCTATGAACAAAAGCTTTTTGTTGACCTTAACGTGTATAATGTAAATTAAGCATATGACATATAAATATATAATAATTATTATATAAATCCAGAATTAGCACCGCCAGTTCCGTTCCTTTGTCCTGTCGTCCAATCTAGTGTATCCCTCAACTCTTCTCATCGTTTCTATCATTATCTTGCACGCCATTACAATCTGTTTGCTGTAATGGACGCACACGACATAACATTATCATTCAACATTATTCATTATTAATATAGATTATTATTATTACTAATATTGTTAGTAGCTTATTATGATTCTTGCATTATTAGTAAACAATAAGAAAGTAAGAAACAAACTTCGAAAAAGTGATACAAGCCATTGTGATTCAATATTTCGAACATTATTAGTTCATCTTCAGGAATTTGCAGATTTTTGTTGGAGTTTCCCCCCCCCCCACCACCCCCCATTTTAGTAAACAGTGTTAGGTTATCAACATTTTTTTTTTTTAGATATTGACTAATATTCTTCAAATGCGTTTTGGCAGTATAATAACGGCTTCCGTTGGCATTCCGTTGACAGGTGTTCTGCATTTGTATACCTCGCCATAGTACCCATGACCAAGTTCTTTCCTTTCCGTCCACGATACGTCACTTCGGTCTATTTCGTAAACTGGGTAGTCAGTCAGTGTCGGTCGACTTTGTGAATGTTTCGGAAAGATTACATCTATTTGTAAAAAAAAGATCAATAGATCAGTATTTTTTTAATCTATGTTATAGTGATTTGTATATAATAATGTAATGATGATGATGATGCTTATGATGATGATTATAAATAAATTATACGTACCTAAGTCTAAAATATTGACTTCTTCTTTCTCTAAGCGTTTGCGACGATTTATGTATGGACGTCTACCTCTATGATCTGTGCATATTATCCACAGGATTATAAAGACTATTATAGCCAACAGATTTACACCGCCTCCCACGATCAATGCTATAGTAACGGCGTTAGAATCATTGTCAGTAACTGGTAGGACCACTACATACAAAAACATAAATATAAACGCTCAATAACACTTTGACATTATCTGCGTCACAATGCATAATCAAAGCAAACAACTGACCAATCAGAACGTGCCTATCAAAAATTTCCACAAAAACACGTCGCAGTGTAGTGTGTGGTAGGCCTACGATAGCATTGATACTTATATACATACAGTATATATTTGTTATATATATATATATATATAAAGTTAGCCGTTAACACTGTTAAATTATATATAAATCAACAAAGAAAGGTAAATAGTACAGTGTACGAATAAAGGACATAATAATATATCGTGTAGCTTAGCTCTCAACGAATGTTGTCCTATAAATAAATGGATGTCATTTATTCGAACACTGTATTTACCTTTCTTTGATG